ATATCAGGTGTCTTTACATTTACTTTAACATTAGAGAGATATCTTTATTTTATCTTGGTTTTTATAAAATAAAAATAAAATTCGCAAAATCAATTTATATTGTAATTTTTCGAAAAATCTGGATGTGTATTATTAAATTAGAGTACACTTCAAGGGCGAAGGAAATTCTACTGAAATTTTCGATTTTTTGGAGCAGTTTGTCTATATTATTTAATTTATCGGTAATATTATGGTTTATATAAATTGTGAAAATTATAATTTCCAGTAATTAGATTATGGTGATAACAATATTTTCAAAATCTCCACAAAGATACAAAAAAGGATTAAAAACAATTATTATAAGGAAATGTAGTCCTGCACTTTTTTACTACCCTGTCGACCCTGTTGAATGAAACCAAATTATGAAGTTGTGCTTAAAACAATTCAGTACCTCTAAACGAAATTATTATTAGTGCAATACTCCATTTTTGGAAGTATAAATTTAAAGAAAAGATCTAAACTATTTAATACAACAAAACGTTTTTCAGAAAAAAAAGTTTAATTTCAGGTGTATTTTACGAACATCCTGTAGATGGTAAAACGCTAAAGGAAATTTGCCTGCTCAGTCCCACCCAAAATGTGATTACCTAATGTCAAAAGTTTACGAAGTACGCAAATCCCATCTAAAATGTATTAATTGGAGTTCCTACATTTGGTTTTTGAGGTTTTCAATATATGTCTTCGTTATTAATAAGCCTATTATTATGAAATTTTAAATATAACTTTTCCACATCTTTCGCTATGCAACGCAAGAGAGTTTTTTTTAACATTTGTATCATCGTCTTTCTTTTAGAATTTTGTTGAAATTTTTTATCACGTATTTTTAAAAATCAATATCTCTATTATTGATGGAAATTTTGTAACGCAGTTTTCACCAATGTTTTCAGCTTACACAACTCTATAACCTACCTGGGTAACATTGGCGATTGTTTTTGTCGGAAAAAAGAAGCTTGTGTCGAATATAAATCCATAACATTTTCCTCGTAATGTATAGAGCTTTGTAAGCTAAAAACGGTGGTGAAAACCGCGTTTAGAAATTTCCATAAATAATTGAGATATTGTATTTTAAAAATACGTGATGAAAAATTTCACCAAAACTTTAAAAAGAATAAAGATAGTTAAACTGTTTTTCAAAAAAACTGCCAATGCATTCTCTAGAGTGACTTGTAGAAAATTTATTTTTAAAGTTTCATAGGAACAAGTGTTAATAACATAGATATTACATTCTGAAAATGTAATGAGCACCCCGCAAGTGAAAAAGGTAGGGACTCGGCCTTAAATATTTAATGTACTTCGGTACTTGTGGTTTATGAATACACTCCTATTTTCAGCAGGGCGTTTGTAGGTTTTAGGAAAAAAATCCAAACGTTGAAACAAAATTTTTCATTTTTATCTTATACATATATATAATCCATTGCTCTGAAATTTTATATATCTATTTAAAATTAATCTGTATTTTTTTTTAAACTTGATGATCTGAAATGACAATTTTAGTGTTTTCCTGTGTTTTAGAACTATTTATACAAAAACGGTTCACCTCATTTTTCTGAAATTCGGACTACACAATGAAACTGACTTACACTGTACCTAAAAATTTTATTTTTAAATTTTATTTATAAATATGTTGCTTTACCTTGTGTCTAACACTGAATCAAAATATAAAATTCGTAAAATCAAATTTTACGGAAGTACAGTAATCGAGTCCATGGCCGAATTGGCACTTTCATGATTTCTCGACGTGTCATGACCTCTACGAAAAAAGTGGTCTCCCGTTTCCGTCCGTCTGTCTGTCTGTATCCATTTTTGTTGGATAAGTAATCTCCGAAATTACTGGACCGATTGTTGTCACATTTTGTATGTATATTAGGAATATCATGTAGATGGTTTTAAACGCTAACTAAAATTTGGCTAGTCATCTCCATCACAAATAGGATGACGTCATCCCCAAAATTTATAATATATTTTTTTAAATTATATAAAATAAGATACTCCTGCACTTGTGGTATATGAATCCGTGTCGAATTTTCACCCTCGATATCCAAAATTTTTGGAAAAAAATCAATACTGAATAACAATATTTTGCAATATAATTTTGAAACTGCAAAACCGATTACACTGAAATCTTGTAAATATTTTAAATTTTATAACGTTATGGTCTAAAAATTTTTCCGAATAAATCCTATCCAAAATGTGCAAAATATGATGAGTCTATACTTGTAATTTATCATTGGATTAAACATTTTCAAATTTCTTATATAGGATGACTGTCTCTGCAAAAATGTTGATGACGTCTTCACAAAATTTTATCAAGCAAAAACTCATTTGAAACACACGCGTTGCACGCTTCTTTCCATGCTCTTTAACATTATATACTTACATATTTATTTCAACTTATAGGAGTTTTCATAAAATAAATCAAATCCGTAAAATCAAATTTTATAAGTTTTCGAAAAAACTGGATATGTTTCATAGTACTTCAGGAGGTTATGCTTCAGGAACAAAGAAAGTTTTATATACAGTGTGATTTTTTGATATGTGGTCTAGATGTCGTTGCCCATTATGTTACCAAATTGCGTAGGTCGTCTCTTAGAACATACAACTTCTGGAATAGGGTTGCTTATAAATTCTTGACTTAATGAAATTAATAAAATTGTGCTTTATTTTCATTTTCGCAAATTCGTTTCGCACTTTGTTTTTCCAATTTTCGACAAAAATCACTTTTTCAAGGTTAAATCTTTACTTGAGAGAATTTTATTTGAAGAAACGTCATTACATCTGCAAGAATTTGGAATTTGATGTGCCATTTCGCGAAGACAACTATTTTCTTCGAGGTATAAGTTACAGCTGCTACGTAGGAGAACAAGCTGTAAGAATTTATTAACCAGCTTGATGCTGAAGAATTGTAGAGTGGATATTTTCAGCATGACGGCGCAACAGCTCAAACAGCTCAAACAAATTTAAATTTTCTAAAGGAATTTTATCACGACTGTTTAATTAGCTACACAGGTCACCAAAAAGTATGGAAGCAATTGAATATCGCGAGAACGGTTTGTTGAATTTTTTGAAATTTAGGTTGTCCCTAGGAATACTCAAGTTCTATTTTCTGAATTTTTTTCAAATATCTTACTTCATTTATTTTACAGATATAGGGCTAACTTCATTTTTTTTAAATAACACTACTAGTGAAATGTTCCGTTTTTAAATATATAGTACATTTTTTTCTAAATTCAGAAATGTAATGCATGCATTATTTTATTTTCTCCCAACACGGTAAAATAAATTGTCATAATAAAAATACTGAAAATCAGAAAATCGTAGCGAGCCTTGACAATATTATCACCTGTCATAGTTCTGCCGTAGGACATTGTATCGTGTAAAAATGATAGAAGTGGGGATAATTAAACTGAAATAGAGGTGCCAGCGTAACAGACTGATTTAAATGCTATTTCCAAATAATTTACAAAATATTCTAGAAATAACAATACTCCGATTTGATGATTGTAAATGGTAAATACATTGTTACCAAAGCTTTTTGAACAATTTAAATAAAAAAATTACATTATTGAAAAAAATCAATTATTAAATAGGTTGCACAAAGTTTTCAAATGAATCCGTGAGAATATCTTGAGGAATATCATCAATCAAATTTAATATTCTTTCTTGGAGTTCTTCGATGCATTGTGGCCTATTAGCATAAACTCAATTTTTTATACAGCACCACAGAAAAAATCAAGTGGGTTAAATCGGGTGACCTAGCTGGCTACTCAACTGCTCCCTTTCGTCCTATCCACCTTCCAGGAAAAATTTCATTCAAGTAATGTCGTAGAAAATAGAGCTTGAGTGTTTTTAAGTATGGCTCAAATTTCAGGAAGATCCAACTAACCCTTACTTCCATACTTTTTGACAACCCTATATATCGTTATACCTTTCAAATTCTGGTTCAAATCAGTTTTAAGAAAATTTGTTTAAATATTTCTTAGGCAGACAACCCTGGGTTATAATTTGAACAGCGCGACTTCAGCACTTGTACCCATTTCTCACACACAACACCCCATTGTAACAAGTAATATCGATATCCAGTAGAGAAAAATTTCAAACAAGTGGCCAGTATTTGAGCTGTAATACATTCATGTTTCCAATGGAGACAGTTTGCGTCGGCGTACGTGACGTATGGAAACAGTAATGGAAGTTACATCGAATTAAAAACATCACAGGCAAAATTGTATCCAAATTTTACATCTTAAACGTAATAAAATTCGTAAATCGAGTTGTAGATTTTTAAATGGTGGTATGTATTTATATCAAACTAACAAAACTTTGCGTTAGAAAACTTAACTTAAAATAAAGGTAAAACTAATGACTACGACGGACTATTTATCCCGTATATGTAGTTTGAGGACACACTGTATTATAGTTTACTCTTACCTCGCAGTGCATTCTGTTTAGACAAAATAAATTGTTAAAACTAAATAATGCAACTCTTGATTTTAACGTTCTTTTGTGGGTACTAAATTAGTGAAAAAAAGTAAAATTTACATCATCAGTGTGCTTTGAATGTTGAGTATTTTAACACAATGTTTTAATATGTATATGGTAATTTTATGGCTCAGGAATTTCATCATCTTTAATATGACAAAAGTGAAATTCCTTCTCTATTTGCATTACTAACGATGATTCTTATTTTTATTTGTTTTTATTCCAAGTGAAAGGATCTTGATTATATTAAACCCGACTGTATGAAATGAAAATATTCTGTCAAATTGGTATAAATAAGTTCTCAAACAAATTTCTTTGATTACAAGAAAAAATAATTCAAAAATAGTAACATTTTCTTTCTGTGAAAAGCAACTTAATTTTGCACAGTTAAATATTGTGTGTCAAAATTACAATTTTTTTTGTCAAACACGTTAGTGTGTAAATTTTTCTTAAAAAAATGCTACTTTTCTCCCAGTTTTACTCACCGTTTTGTTGACTATTCCTCTGCTGCTGGTGGTGCTCATCGCCCAATATTGCACTAACACTAAACTTTAGAACCGGCTTAGTATCCTTAATATCACTGCTAATTCTACACTGCAAAAAATTACACTCCAACCGGCCACAGTTCGAACAAATCCGATTCTTCAAGCAGCTGTTAAACCTGAGAAAAACGTCATTTTTTTCCGTAGGTGTCAACCTATCGCTTTCACCTTCGCTCCTCGTAGTTTCAGCAGGACTCAGCGAGCTCTTCAGCTCGTGCCCAAACTTGAGGTTCTGTTCGGCTTCGTCCTGCTTATCCGAGATGTTAATTTCCAGATTTTCCGGCGAGATTTTCCCGTTCGAGAGCAGGTTTTCCATCGAGAACGGGCTCGTGTTGTTATTGAAGCTCTTCAGCATCTTCTGGTTCATCAGGTGCAGCGTGTTTTGGAACATGTTCGCGGTTTTCACGAAGAGCTTTCAGTAGAGTGCATTTCCGCGTTTTTGCTATTTAAATTGGTTACGACACGTGTTTGTCATCCCGTACGTAAAAGAGCCGTTGCAGCATGAATATAAAGCTTCGAACGTTTCTCTTTGCGCAGAGGGCTAAATATAACTGATATATTTGACGAAAACCACCCTTGAAGTTCTAAAAGGGGAGGTGCTTAACTCTATGAGGGGTGGTCCTTTCTTTATCTTTATTTTATTGTACTTCCAACCTTAAACCCATGTTTTATAAGCTCTATTTGTCTGAAATTATTGCAGCTTTTCATCATCATTACGTTATTTATGCGATTATTCATAAATCGCGTCGTAATGGGGTTGTAATTTTTTCATGCACGTTTTAAAAATGGCCGCGTTCGACACACTTTTTATTGCTTTTTCGTTTTATTTGCGATTTGTCAATTAATCGGAAACGCCGGAAACGGAATTAATAACTATGAAATGCGATGCCTGAAAACGGTTCATTAATTTCGGGAGATGATTGACATTGCAATCAAATTATGAACAGTCGGAAACAAAATGTTAGCAATATTTTCGAGGATTTACATTGGAACAGTGGATGGAATATAATAAAGCGGAGGGAAATTTTGCTCATATCATTATGAACGACAGCCGTCACCGCCAGAACAATGCCGATTTGGGAGAAAAAAATGTTATGGGATTGGGCGATTTTAAAAGTTGGCAATTTTTTTTCAGTTGGAAACCGGGGCGAGGAGGGGTGAGTAATAATGGTGGAGGAAATTTTACGTCTTCGGGGGAACTTTTATAACAAGATCTCTTTTTAATTACTTACAATTAGAGGTGCCAGTGACACGGAAAATGCCATTTTTCATTTCGATTTTGTGATGAGTTTTTTTTTAATTAATCGTGAGCGTTTTCGTAATTATCGTACTTAGGGGATGTTCATTAATTAAGTATAGGTAGTATTGTATTGATATTATGTTTTATATTTAATTGCATTTATCATTTAATTCAACGAGATATACAAGAAAATCATAATTTTATCTACTCCAGGCAGACGATAATGTTATTTTAAAATATGCTAAATTATTTATTTATTTTTTGGCACGTTGAGCACAGTATTCGTGTTGACGGAAAGTTTGCGGCGTGAGCTAAAGACGAACGCTGCAATTCATACAAATGAGAAAAGACTATATGCGGATGGGTTTTTTACTTATATGTTTGTATTTTATTAAATATTTTTGATTATGTTTAAATTAAATAAAAAAAAAGTACTTTCAAGAGTTTTTCTTTTTGCACGATCTTATATTTTTACACATTCTGACTCACCTCTTCCTAGGCATTACAACAATATTTTACTTTTGAAATAACGATGCGACGTTGCCAAGTTATTCCACTTCAGAAAAAAAAAATATAGTCGGAAAATGTAAAAAAGTGGAGAAACTGTCAACTATAGATATAGAACGTAAATACTTAACAAAAAAGAATGGGAATAAGTAAAACTGTGAAAGGCAGTAATAAAATACAGGGTGTTCTGTCTGAAAAGCAGATATGAGATATAGATTTTTATAAACACTCCGTATACTAAGTTTCAAATTTGCTACAGTAAAACAAAATAATGCAACATAGATATTCAAAATAATCCCATTACGTTAAAATGTATTCAGAAAATTTGTTTCAACTTGGCAACAACGCAACAGAATTTCGAAAATAAGAATATCTATAAAACCTAAGAATAAGAGACCAAACAATGTTCAAAATATCAGACACGTTTTATTTAAAAAATATACGAGGTGTGAACACTCCGCACAGTCGAAATTAATTTTTAGTCCTGGAAACCGAGTTTAAAAATTTTGAAAAAAATATTGTTAAATTAGGAATTCAGAAATTTCTATTTATTTTGAAGAATGGAATAAGAGAAGGGATTTTGTTATTAGATTTTCTTAATTATTTTTTAAAACGAATGTTTTTACATCTTGAACGTAAGCTAGTATTGAATAGCGCCCATCGGATGAACATACACTTTTATACAGGGTGATTTTTTTATCTGAAACTTTCAAATATCTCGAAAAATAAGCACTCTACAAAAAATATCCAGATTCAAAATTTAATAGGTAGAATTTTTCGCAGAGTGGTTATTTTTTGACACATTTGAAAATTTCAAGTAAAAAAATCACCCTGTAATTTCTCGACGTTTCGTGACCTTTAGAATATGAAAAAGTACTCTCCCTAACCACCGGTTCGATGCTTGTCAAATTTTATGTGTATTTTAGGAATATCACGTAGATGGTAAAACTTTAATAAAAATTTGTATATATACATATTTATTTGCATACCTGTATTACTTCCTTGTTTTGCTAAATTTTTGTCTCTTTGTGTACCCATTTTCTGTTGTTTTTTTTTGTTATTTTTTGTAGTTACCTTTTTTGTTGTACTTTTTGTGAACCTTTTTGTTAGATGTAGTCTCGCTTTTTTTGTTGATTTTTTTTGTTCTCTGTTTTTGTCGCCTTTTTGTAGCTTTTCTTTAATCGGATTTTTTGTTGTTTTGTTCGCCTTCTTTTTTTGTCGTACATTTCCTCTGGTTTTTTAATTAGTCAATTTTTTATATTTTTGTCCTTCACGTTTTTTTGTTTTTTTATTGACTGGTTCAGTGCGTTTTGTAAATTTGTTATTGCCTTTTTCTTCCTTTTATACTTTTTTGGCGACTTGTTTGTATTCTCCTGTTTTATTAAATTTTTTTTTCTCTATTTTTATCGCCTTTTCGGAGCTTTTATTTGTGAGATTTTTCTTGATTTTCTTTTGCTTTCTTTTTTGGCTCTAGCTCTCTCTTTTTTTAGTCAGTTTCCGTTGTATCATTTTTTGAATTTCTGTATGATATTTTTGTTCCTTGTTTTCACTGTTTTTCTTGTCTTTTTATTGATTGTTTTGGTGCATCTTTGTAGCTTTTTTATTGTCTTTTTTGTTCCTTTTATAGTTTTTTAGCCACTTGTTTGTGGTCGCCTGTTTTATTGATTTTTTTTGTTCTCTGTTTGTGTCTCATATTCGTAGTTTTTCGTACGTGGGATTTTTGTTCATTTCTTTTGCTTTCTTTTTCTGTCGCATTTTTGCGTTCTTTTTTTTAGTCAGTTTTTTTGTCGCTTTGTTTCCATTTTTTACGTTTTTTTCTAGATTGTTTTGGTGCACATTTGTACATTTTCATTGCATTTTTTGTTCCTTTCATAGTTTTTTGGCCATTTGTTTGTAGTCACCTGTCTCGTTGAGTTTTTTTGATCTCTTTTTTTATAGACTTTTCGTTGCTTTTTTTGTGGGATTTTTGTTAATTTTTTTGCCTTCCTTTTTGGCTCATTTTTGCTCTCCCTTTTTTAAGTCAGTTTCTGTTGTCGCTTTTTTTGCATTTGTGTAGGATATTTTTCTTCCTTGTTTTCACATTTTTTTTTTCGTATTTTGAATGAATGTTTTGATGCATCTTTGTAGCTTTTTTATTGTCTTTTTTGTTCTTTTTATAGTTTTTTCACCACCTGTTTATAGTCGCTTGTTTGTTAATTTTTTTGTTCTCTGTTTTTTTTGTAGCTTTTCTTTTGTGGGATTTTTGCAGATTTTTTTGTCTTTTTTTTTGTCGCATTTTTGCTCTCTTTTATTTGTCGCATTTTTGCTCTCTTTTTTTTTAGTCAATTTTTGTTGTTGTTTTTTCATATTTCTGTATGATATTTTTGTCCCTTCCTTTCACATTTTTTGCTCACCTGTTTATTGATTATTTTGGTGCATTTTTTAAGATTTTTTATTACCTCTTTTGTCCCTTTTATAATTTTTTGGCCACTTGTCTTCTTTTTGTCGTATTTTTGCTCTCTTGTTTTTCCTCAATTTTTGTTATCGTTCTTTTCATACTTTTGTATGATATTTTTGTTTCTTGTTTTCACATTTTTGTCTCTAATTTTTATTGACTGTTTCCGTGCATTATTTAAAAATTTGTATTGCCTCTTTTCTCCCTTTTATAGTTTTTTGACCACTTGTTTGTAGTCGCTTGTTTGATTGTTTCTAGACTCCGTTTTTATTCTGTAGCTTTTCTTTTGTGGGATTTTGATGATTTTTTTTATCTTCTTATTTGGCTCGTTTTTGTTCTCTTGTTTTTATTTTTTTTTCTCGTCTTTTTATTGATAGCTTTGGTGCATTTTTTTAGATTTTTTATTGCCTTTTTTGTTCTTGTCAACTTGTTTGTTGTCACCAGTTTTGTTGATTCTTTTTGTTCTCTGCTCATATTGCCTTTTCGGAGCTTTGTTTTGTGATATTTTTGCTGATTTTTTGCCTTTTTTTGGTTTGTTTTTGCTCTCCTTTTTTGTCATTTTTTGTTATCGCTTTTTTCGCATTCCTGAATGATATTTTTGACCCTTATTTGCACATTTTTTCTCGTCTTTTTTTTATTGTTTTGGCGCATTTTTGTGTTCTCCTTTTGGTGACATTTTTTGTCGTCTTTTTTGAATCCCTTTTTTAGTCGCATTTTTTGTGCGTTTTTTGGTCCTTTATTTTCGTCAGTTTTTTAAGCAGTTTTTTTGTTCTCTCTTTTGTCGCCCATTTTTTGCTTTTCTTTTCGCCCCTTTATCGCCTTTTTGTGGTTATTCTGGTCCTTGCTAAAAGTTTATAACAAAATTATTATCGAAAACTCACTTGATACATTCGTTGTGTATTGTTTACCAATTTATATCTGCTTTGTTTCAACATTAGATACATTTTTAGTCACTTTTTAAAGTCGCCTTTTTTGTTTTATTGTTCTCTGTTTCTGGTTTTTGTGTTGTCTTATTGTTATCTTTTTTGCTGCCTTTTTTGACTCTCCTCTTTTATTTAAATTCTCTTTTTTGCTCTTTTTTCGTCACTCTTTATAGTTCTTTTTCTAATTTTTGATGAGTTTTTGTCTTATTTTCACATTTTTTCATTTTTAGTAGCCTTCTTTTGTGAGCTTTGTGTTTTTTCGTTGTCTTTTTTGTTATATTTTTGTG